ATTCATGATGTTAAACAGTTGTTTTTGGAGGCCGTAAATAATGTAAAACCTGAAAACTGGGAAAAGGCAGTAAATCACACTATTAAAGAAGAGGAAAAAATGTGGAAGCTGGACAATATTACTGATAAAATGATCGAGCCAGTTATTATAAATCTTGGTTCTGAAAGTTCATCTTCTGAATCTGATTTGGATTTGTAACAAGTGGCTGTAAGTTTTATATTAATATTTTTATTCATCTATTTAACATACCTTAGACGGTTTTAAAAACTCTTTTTCTCTTTTGTAATTTTTAAAAATAAAAAAAAATGTGAATTTTTTAAAACCCTTTTTAATGTAGGCCAGTCAGTTCTAATATAGTGTGTGATAAAAGAGGTCACTTTTGTTTACATACACATAACACTTTATAACACTGAAATAATTCATTTATTTTTACAATTATTCAAAGTAATTTTTCAATTAATCTTGAGCACGCCCATGGAGTGGTCGGAGGTACCAGTTAAAATTATGCTAATTACTCTCTCGTTCATAAAAATAAACTATAATTGTTTCGGCTTTAAAAAAACTTTACAAAATTACTTTATCTTTATTAATAAAAATATTAAATATTGAAAATTTCACTAAAAAAGAATTAATTTGTTTATAAGAGATTTAAACAAAATTAAGCCATAAACTTTGAGAATCTGGCTAGTGGAAATTGTAGAACTACTCAAAACGAACATTTTAAGCTTTGGTAAATGTTTCTATGTTAATTTTTTGCAGAGATATTGAAAATTGATTTGCGCGTGCGGTATATGATCGCCCCAATTCGCTGGAAACTAACCGGGCGAGAATCTGAATTGTCTTTACCTTGTTTAGGCGGTATACCTTTTCAAGGAGGCAATAAACGTCAGCAGAAATGGGTTGAGTGGCAGTAAGCTGCTAGCGGAGCGGGGAGGCAGAAGGTGGTTGAGATTTTATTTTTGAGGAAAGAGAGACGAGACTAATCATGTTCTGTTTAGGAAGTACCCTGTCTGTCAGCAAATATATAAAAGAAACGGCTTCTGGATTAGCGTTTTTGGCTTGCAGCTTATTTTATCTGCGATATTTAAGGGGAGTTGTTTCAAGGACGTCGTAATACTCATCAGGAGGTTCGTTCTTAGTTCGAGTCTTACTGTATTGGACTCTCAAGTAGGACACAGAAGGAATATAGGTAATCTAGCCTTTCTCCTAGGAGAGTTATCCGATCCCCTTCCTCTACTACAAAGGAGGGAGACCTGAATAGGATGACTTGAGTTTTGGATAGTTTTAAGGTAACCCTCCATCTATTGCACCAGTTAACTGTTTTGTTCAGTTGTAATTGCGTCCTAGAGAATACAGATGAGTTCCCCTACGTCCCTAAGGGTACCTGCGGAAAGTAATGCCCTGTCATCGGCATACAGCAAGATGGTTTCTGACCTGTTCAGGAGATACGAAATGTCACTATTATAGATTGTGTATAAAATTGGAGCTAAGATTGAGCCCTGTGGTACTCCTGCTAGTGGAGTAAAAGGGTTTGAAATTTTGTTGGCCACCTTTATTCGGATTGTTCAATTAGAGAGATAGATATGGATGGTCTTGATGAATGGTAATCAGTCCGGCATGCCAGAACCGTGCGCCTCAAGAGGGCGTTATTTAAAGTTCCATATCTTGGTCAAAAATTAATATAGAAACATTTACCAAAGCTTAACATATTCGTTTTGAGTCGTTCTATAACTTCAATTAGCTAGTTTTTTAAAGTGTACAGCCTAATTTTGATTATATCTCTTATAAAAAAATTAATTTGCAACCTTTTTGTGAAATTTTTAATGTTGAATTGTTATAACTTTTTTATTATTAAAAATAAAGTAATTATGTAAAGTTATTTTTAAAACTGAAACAATTACCTTTAAAATTGGGGGGGGGGGGGGTTTCAATGCTAATTGCACATGTTGATGCTAAATTATACTTAAATCCTTCATCGAATGTCTATTTTGCAATTGTTTTTCACGAAATTTGTTATAACTACGGTTCTAACAATTGAATTAAAGTTTAAAACGCTATTTTGTTCATACGCACTAAAAAAACATGATTTGATATTGCGACTTTATAATTTTAAAATTTAAAATTCAGTTTCTGAAATAGTAAAATTCAGAGGGTGCAAATCGCTTCGCTTTTAAACCCTTCATCTTTGATGCATCATGAACAGCTTATTTTTAAAGGAATCGTTTTAATTTTTTTTTAAACTTGAACTTTTATTCTTTCAAATGGCGCTTTTTAAATTTCTTAATGTTTATAAACAAAGCCCTGTGAAATTTTGAAAAAAAGGGCTAATTCGGGTTGTAAGAACATTGTATTTTTTTCTAAATTCATGTAAAAATGCCAACATTTCGAATAAAAAAATAAATAAAGTTGATGTGTTTGATTTATTTTAAATGTTTATAAGCTTAAAATCACAGTACTTTTGCAAACATATCTTGCAATATTTAACATAAACCTTTTAATCTTAAAACGATTTCATTTGATAATATTATCCTTTCTCTTCAGTTTGGTGCTTTCAGAATTCATGTAGACCCAAAAGTTAAAGCATAATAGCGATGTAGATAAAAGCTTTCTGGGATAAACAATTTCAATTTGGCTTTCAACTAGTAAGTGAAACTTCTTGAAATTTTTTAGGTGACTATTTGTGATATTGTTCCCATTCTCACATGAAATTAGTTTTTTGTGCATATTCAGAAAAGGTGTTAATCATTTTCAAAAAATCGACTTTTGAAGCTATCTTTGCAAGAATTAAGCAACAAATTAACAAAAGTAATTTTACAAGCGCTCATTGTAAAGGATTTTCTATGCTTTTTTAGTAAAATTGTGTCCTTTTTCAATATAATCTGACTCTCTTTTAAGCATTTAAGGTTTTGAATATTTTGTTAATCACATATTGTTATTACCAAATTTATCAAAAGCAATGGTTGAATACCAGTACCAATTTTATGAAAAAGGTTTTTTTTGCTATTTCACTGGTCTACATTTATAACAGAGATGTTACCGTCGTTTACCTTATTTTAACTAACGTCCAAAGCGAGCGTTATTTTTAAACATTAAAATACCAGAAGAATGTGGTGTGCAAAACTCACGAGTGTACGAGAGACCACTAGTTTTAAATTTCCAGAACAACCCTCATATGACAATAAGAAAATGTGTGTGAACATGTTTTAATGTAATTATAACTAATAAATGGCTGCGATATAATGCAGTTGAAGGAATATCGAGAGTACCCATAAATTATCAGTAAACTCCTGACCTAATTCATTTTGAATTCACCTTATCAGACTTAATATGTCCCTTTTTTAGTAGTGCGTATTGAACTGTTCATAAGGTCATCTGAAAATTAACAATTTAAATAAATGATTGTTTCTTTATCCTTACAACAAACTAATTCACTGGACAAATAGTAAATTCTGATTATATACAAAATTTTTATAGGTATTTCTTTTATTTTGAAAATAAAAATCCAAAAGTGAAAGGTAAAATAATATATAACATATTATATGCTCATGTCCCCTAGTCTACAAGTTCAAAGTTTGTTTTTAGAAGTCAGCTCCACATCTTTCAAAAACACCATGTCTGAGATCCATACAATTTCAGACAAAAAACTTTTAATATGCAAAAAACTTTTCATACAATATTTCAAAATTTTCAGTTACTTTTCTACTTTTAGGTTGTTAGGATACATAATACTAAAACACTGATATTTATTAAATTTAGAATTACATTAATGAATTAGATCAATAAGAGTTTCCTTACATGTAGGTAAAAAACATGTTTAAAACTAGCATTCTTCAATGATTGTCAACCTGAAACCCTAAACATTAAGTATTTTATAAACATTAACACTATATGTTGTGGCAATTGCTATTTTTTACCTTCCAAAAGGTTAATTTTCATTTAATTCAAAGTAAAACAGTTTTATTATTAAATAGTCATTTTAATCGTATTTCTCTATTCTTCTCAAAACTTTGGCAATGGTGTTTCTTGTGTCCATGGGAATCTTTTTTATCTTGCAAGTTATTCATGATTCAGTCATTTTTAAACTCTTACTTTTTAGTGCAAGCCTAGATTTACTTTGCATACTCATATTTATATATTTGATCTCAATATTGACATCAAACTCTAATAACTACCTTAAGTGAATAAATTATTTTAAATTATATATGATGTATTGTCAACATTTGATTTTTGTAATATACCTAGATCACTTGCATATATTGAAGAATTGTATCCAATCAATGCATGGCATATTATATGAGAAGAGTTGATTAGTATATCATTATTTTTGCTTCTTCACTAATAACACTGTTGCAATTAGTATATATTTAAATATGACGGAACAAGAATAAAAGATATTTAGATCACAAAAAATTTCATTTAAAGGGGAAGACTAACAAAAGTTGTATTTTATAAGGTATATAATAAAGACATGACACCATTAAGATCTACAAATGGAACCAAAAACACCAAATAAGTGAAAACACAGAATATAAGAAAAAGGCTATAGAAAACAGTTTTTTTTTAATACTATACTGTAACAAGATGTAATAAACCTAAAGTACACTCATTTATTATAAATACAGGTAAACATATTTTGCAATAGTATATTATCAGCACATTCTCAATTTATATACTATGCAAATGCTTTATTTACAAAACAAGTTTTCTGCCCTCACTGATGTTATATGAATGTGGACTATGAAGTTATACTGATAATACACATTCTTAAGAATATGAATAACAGGAGTTAACATTATTTGGAGAGGTTTACTACGAAAAAAGAGAATGATATATTTTCTGTTCTTAGTATGACTTAGCGTATCATAATTTCCATAAAAAGAATAATATTAAGAAGAATTAGAATAAGATAAATGAAAATACAAAATGTTATATATAAATTTGTTAAACACATATTCATTTTGGGAGTAATAACAAGAGCTATACATTCAATATGTACTCACCTCCTGTGTAAGATTGATGCCCATGTCCAAAGAATCTGTAGGTTCTTCAGTGACAATATTATCTGACTGATTCTGTGGCACAACAGGAATAGCTAATGTGTCATTGCTAGCTCCAGAAGCAGTCCTTTCGATGTTAAGCAAATATGTAGTAACATCTGGATGTCTGAAGCCACCACTGTTAAATCTTCCTAGAGAGTTTAGATCAGCAAATAAATCTCTTTGGTAGTTTAATAGAACCGAGTCTAGACTTTTTGGATTTACATAGTGTGATCGTAACACTGCTGGATTGATACTTCTCCAGCTTGTACCATTATCAAAATCCAAATTATCATAGATATTGTCATAGATGGAATCATGGTTAACTCTTAAAATGCTTAACAGGAGGGCAAGTTGTAGGAGCTCATCCCTGTACATCTTTTTGAGACACAACATCTTAACAGTTTTTATTTTCACTGGTAAAAAATCAACATAACCTTAAAATGATTGAGAGACCAATACAGTTTTTGACTATTGGCACACTGACATCATTTATAAAAAAATAAGAAAATCCGAATTTCTAAGGATTGTATAAAGTCCAAATCCACATATTCCGTTGTAAACAAAACTACCAGCTGATCTACAGAAATGACAGTTTACACCGGCACTACTGTTTTGGGGTTAGAAAAAGCAGTTATCCACATTATTTTGAAACACTTCGCATTAGTTTTGTCACTTATATTAATCAATACAGTTTCCTATTTTTAAAATCACCTCACTTTTAAACAAAGAGTACACTACGAACTAGTATTAACCACGTACTTCTAGAGATTCTACAAGTCATCAAAAATCAAAACTCACTGTTAGCAGCTTACAAATGAAATGCGCGCACTTAAGAAAATTATCAGAAAGTGGGGAAATCTAGGTGTTTTTGTTTTTGAGGTGTCTCCGTGGTTTTGTTTTTGTTTGAATGTCATAAATTGAGTTATTATGATTAGGCAGTGGCCTTGTTTAATAATATTTTACTTTCGTTACAACCTTTAACCCACTATATAACTACTTCAATTTGTGTCATATAAGCTACACAGTAATATGGTAGTAATTACAATATTAGTAAATATACAAACTTTATTTCCCCTATATTAAATGCCTGCAAATAGTGTAAGGGGGTGATCCATACGGCGGAATTGATTAAATACGCAAAGTTAGAAAAATAATATTTAATTATAAACAAACTCAAAAATTCGTATGTTTAATCTTGCAATTCAACGTAAAAAGAGGTAAATATTAAAAAAACTGAACATCTATATTTACCATTGTCCATAGATAATAGATAATATTATGACTGTTCTATTTACTATGTAATATATACTTTGAAACAATTTTAATATAGGTAAATATTAAGATCATCATTAATATTGCTTATACAAATAATTGCAGGTGCATAAAAGTTTAAGCATTAAATCTTATAAAATTAAAACGATTACTAATTATTAATTTAGTATTAAAAGTGTACAATAAAAATGCATTACATTATATTTAAATTCGATTACAGCATATAAAGTAACATTTCCAGTGCAGTGCATATTAGTAAGTGGATACATTCAGTGTTATATGTGTTGCCTATTGTTCCTATTATTTAATATTGAAAAATCTGAAAGGTGAATAACCAAAAGCCCAAAAGTGGTAACGATCGTTTGTAACGATCCCACATGAATATCTTATCACCCTCTAGAAAATATTGGATTAATATTAGTCTTTCCAATAAACTCTCTTAGAATAGGTGCATCCAATCCAGAATAAAAACACACACTTAGCTTCAGAAAGCAGGTTTATAGACAGTCAACGTTGCTTCACTTGCAAACTGTTGCATCTCGATGCCCTTCCGATAATATCAATCCAAATATCCAACAATTACAACCCCCAAAAAATACTCAGATCTCGCCAATATCTGAACCCGCTAAAACATATTCTAATGACTTTTGTGATATTCTGAGAAAATACATAATATTCTACCGAGAAGTCCCTCATTAGTAGAAAATTGTCCAAAAGACGCTAATATTACTTTAATTTAGACACATCCTCTCTGGCATCAAATCCAGATTGCACTACTCAATCTCAATCTGCAAATATCCCAACCAAGGAGAAAACTAATTCAACAGCCTTCTCCTCAACAAAACGAACAGCTGAAGATACGTATCCAGCTACTCCAGAAGAAAAATCTTCTTCTTGTTTTTATATAGACATGACTCTGTCTGTTTTTCAATGTGCCTCCAGTAAGTTATCATTCCATCGTTTTCGTGGTCTTCCTACTAATCGTCTTCCTATTGGGGAACCGTCTCTTGCCGTCTTTACTACTCTATTTGTTGTCATTCGGCTTATATGATCGTTCCATTCTACTCTTCTTTTTCTTACCCAGTTTTTGATGTTTTCCACCTTGCATTTATGTCGTATATCTGTACTTCTAGCTCTGTCCCATAGTGTCTTACCATCAATTTTTCTAATTGTTTTCATCTCTGCTGTTTCTAATATCCTTTTTGTCCTCTCTGTGTCAGGTCGTGTTTCTGCCGCGTATGTCATTATTGGTCTGATGACTGTTTTGTAAATTCTGTCTTTCGTTTCTTTCCCGATATTTTTATTTCTCCATATTGTTTCATTTAGGCAGCCTGCGGCTCTGTTTGCTCTATTCACCTGATCTTCCACTTCGATTTCGAGCTTTCCGTAGCTAGATAATGTGATGCCTAGATATTTAAACTCTATCACTTGTTCTATTATCTGACCTTCCAGCTCCAATTTACATCTTAGTAAATTTGCAGTTGTAACCATGCATTTTGTCTTTATTGGGGAAATTAACATGTTAAATTTTCTGGCGGTTATATTAAATTGGTGCAGCATAAGTTGTAAATCATCCTCACTTTGAGAGAGTAGTATTGCATCGTCTGCAAAGCTGATTATTTTAAGTTGTTTTTCTCCCATTTGGGGACTTTTTTTATTATTTCATCCATAATCAGGTTGAACAATAGAGGATGCAGGGAATCTCCATGTCTTATCCCATTGCCTGCTTCAATAGGGTCGGTTAGTACTTCTTCTACTTTTACTTTTATTGTGTTGTTTTGGTAGATATTTTCGATAGTTTTGATTATTCCTAGAGGTATCTCTCTTGCATACAGTAAGTGGATAACGTCTTTTAATTTGACCCATTCAAATGCTTTTGTAAGGTCCACGAAACAGATATGCCCGTTTGTTGTATTCTAATGATTTCTCTTGCACTTGCCTCATTATAAATATAGCGTCGGTGCATGATCTTCCCGACCTAAAACCTTGTTGTTCTTCTGCTAGTGTTATAATTTCATTCAATTTATTTGTTATCACTTTGGTTGTTAATTTTAGTGTTGTGTTTAATAAATTAATTCCTCTGTAATTTTCCGGGTCCGATTTGTCTCCCTTTTTGAAGAAAGGTATTAGGATGCTTGATTTCCATTCTTGAGGAATTCTGTTTTGCTTTATTATTTTTTGAATTAGTTTTAATAGTTGTTTTATTAGATCTGGTCCTCCGTACTTTAGGAGTTCGTTCGGTATTCTGTGATCTCCTGGTGATTTTCTATTTTTTAATATCCTTAATGCTTCCTTTACCTCTTCCTCCTCAATATTTATTTCTTCTTTGTTGTCACCTCTGGTGTTGGTGGTTGATCATCGTCACCTTTATCAAACAGGGATCGAAAATAGTCTACCCATGTTTCCTTCTGAATGTGTTTCGTTTTTTATTACACTTGAGTGCAAAACAATCGACTCAAATGAACAGAGAAATCATCAATAACAAAATAATTTTTTTTTGTTTTTCAGTATCTGATATTACCACCCCTATTCCTAATGACACTTTCCAATCGATTTCGCATGGATCGGATGACTTTACTAATAAATTCTTGAGGCATTGCTTCCCATTCATCATTAAGCGCCGCTCTCAATTCCATTATGCTCCTTGGTGCATGATTTCTGCTCCGGACCCTTCGTTTAAGCTCATCCCAAACGCTCTATTGGATTTATGTCCGGGCTTAACGTAGGCCAATTTGTTGTAGGTATACCGATCTCAGTCAGATAGTTGGGGGTGACTCGTGGTGCGGTATGACATCGTGCATTATCATGCAATAAAATAAAGGCATTGCCAATAAATCCCGCGTATGGAACCACATGTTCCTCCAAAATATCTCTGATGTAACGATCCGCCGTTAAACCACCTCTCACGTCCCCCACCAGGCACGAAGAAAACCAGCTCGGTTTTTCCCATCTATGGAAATGCCTGCCCAAAACATACAAGAACCGCCTCTATATGACACAATTTCTTGTATACAACGTTGAGCAAATCGTTCCCCTGGCCTTCTATAGACTCGACGCCTCTTGTCGTTGCCATATAGACAGATCCTACTTTCGTCGGAGAATAATACCTGACTCCATTGATAGTCGTCCCAATCCAGATGTTCGCGAGCAAATTCTAGTCGTCTTTGCTTCTGGGCTGCAGTTAGCTTGAGACCAGTAGCTGCCCTTTTTGGTGTCAGGTTGGCTGCTTTCAGTCTCCTTCCGACTGTCCAAACGCTGGTAACCACACCTCGGACCTCTCTATGCTCTTCTTTGAGATTAGCATCAGTCAAATGTCGATTTTTCAGAGATTAGATACAAGAAAATCGATCATCTCTCTCTGTTGTTATTCCGTTTATCGACATCCTTCCTTGTCCGCGGGCATAATCACCAATATCTTGGTACCGACGATTACACTCGGAACACAGCAGATTGGACTTAAATTTAGTCGATTTGCCACGGCTCTCTGGCTCAGGTCTTCTATCAATAATGCTACTGCTTGAGCTGCTTTGACGGATGTGGTATCCATTTGTTATGAAGTTGCGAACTTAATTGACTGATATGTATTAGTGGGTTGCTATGGAAATTGATGCTTACGATGTTAACCAAATGTGTTAAGTGGGTGCATGTCGATTTCAATGGGTGAAATTATGACCCCCTCTCTACGTGTTGCATTATTTGTTTGTAATACCACCCGATTTACCAAAAATCAGAAATTTTTTTAAACTCATTAATGAGATTAATAATTGTACACTAAATATTTTTAAATTTACACCTGTTTTGATTAAAACAGGAGACGTACTTTCGCAAAGTAATTTGAGTCGATTTTTTTTGCACTTAAGTGTAGTTCGTTCATCTCTTTTCTTTGTCCTCTGATCATTCTTCATATTTCTTTTTGTGTTCAGTAGAAGTCGTGTTCCATCTGTTTTGAGAAACTCTGCCAGTGTTCCTTTTTTATTTGTCTAACTAAAGTATTCGTTTCATTTCTGATTCGTTTATAGTGGTTGTATACCTGCTGTGTTTGTTCTGTTCTGTATTGTAAAAAGGCTTTCTCCTTTTCTTCACATTTTGTCTTTACTTCCTCTCTAGCCTAAAAGAAAAAGCGCCACCAAATATTTCTACCTTCTGTTTTCCCAAAAATGTCCATTTGAACAACAAACAATCCAAAACAAATACTTCATATCAAGAGACAGAACTCAATGAACCAATTATAAACTATATCGACTCCCGTTCTCCTCCCTTCATAATCAACAGCTTGCAGTTCAAACAACTCCAAAAAATACACAGGAATCAAGGGATGTTCTTAGCATTGCTGAAGACTTCACACAATATATTCCAAACTTAATAGAAATGTTAGAAGAACTCCGTTTCCACGTATAGGTACACTAAGACGGTTAAAACGCGTTGCACAAACCTAAAAACAAATTATAACGTCAATCTGAAGAATTAAGTGATACCCAATCTGACATTTCAAACCTATCGCAAGACAAAAAATAAATACTTCAAAACAATCCAAAAGTCCACCTTTTCCGTCATTG